GACTAAACCTGCCCCTAGCGCGCGGCCATGATTCTAGCCTATAAAAGGTAACAGTCAAGGGGTTGTTGTGCTGCTCTCCCTAGCTTGCTGCTGCTGTCCCTGTCTTTGTGCAGAGCAGCCTTGTCGGGCTCCTGACAATAAACCAGCGTCTTATCCCAGGTGTGTGTGTGTGATCAATCCTGTGCCACTTCTCTGTTTGTTTTGGTTAGGTGAAGCTATTTGCTGAAATAAAGTCATCAAGCCATGGTCACATAGAGCATCAAGAAAATAATGAATCTGAAGGTGATAATGAATGACCTAAATCTGGTAATTCATTGATTGATGCGATATTCAAAGATGCCTAGCAGGATTTCTAAAGACCAGGGTCTTTGCTCTGAATGTTCTCAATGTGTCTTGGCAAAGTCAGACATGTTTTTTTAATCTACATTTTTTATTAAGGACACTGTGTGTCAGACAATGTTCTGGATATTTGGGATACAGCAGTGCACAAAACAAAGATCTCAGTCCCGGAAGAGCTTCCATTCCCTCAAGGGTGATAATGGGAGAAGCATAATAACTTGTTGAGGGCCACAGCCAAGTCAGGATGACTGCATGGCATTTTGCCAGAAGTAATGGTTGAGAGGCGAGCCATTAAGATGATGCTGGATTGAAATAGGCTGTGTATTCAATTGTATATAGACCCCTGCTGTCCGCCTGGGGGCACCTGCTACTTTGGAGTTCTCTTGGGGATTCCTGGGGAGCTCTGTTGGTTGGTGAAGTTCTGGTGGAGGGAGTTCTGGTTGGTGTGTGGTGTGTTCCTGGAAGGGCCACGTGGGTGGTGTTCCCCAGAGTTCGGAAATAAAGTTTGTTCCTGCTTGAGTCGCTCGTGATTTGTGCCCAGCCAGACTGCGGCAATAACTTGTGGTTCATTTGTTGTGGTGAGTTGCCTAATCTCTGACAATCGCATTGGGGGCACGAATACCCCCATGCTTCCTTCTTACCTCCTATATTTTTATTCCCCACTCCAGCAAGGCCAAGCAGGGGCATTAGGATTGAAGAGGCACCATCTGGTCTGGTTCTGATGAAGTTACTTCACCACAAGGCAGCCATGATGTGCCATGGTAACACAGCCATGGGATTGTGAGGTAGACCCATGATGTCAGTGGGTCCTGGAGGATTCATGACCATTGAGGGCCATGGTGACTATTGTCCCTTTATCAACACTCCAGCCAACTACCAGCTTTACCATCAAGTTACCCTGTGAGTCTCTTGATTCATTTAAACTCTCTTGTAGAGTGGTAAGTAAGTTATAATTTTCTTCTATAAAGCACTAGAGATTTCATTTTAGGATTTTTCACTGTTATAAAATATTTTCCCACTGAGTCTCCTGTTATCCTAGGCAAATGATCCTTACAGGCTATACAAAAATCCTCATCCCTTTTATATATTTTATTTAGAGACAGGGAACAGGGTCTCACTGAGTTGTGTATAGCCTTGCTGAGTTGCTGAGGCTGGCTTTGAATTCGCAATTCTCCTGCCTCAGCCTCCTGAGCTGCTGGGATTACAGGCATGCCTCACTGCACCCAGCCAGTGACTCAATTTTTATTTTACACAGATTTTAATGTGGGATTTGTGTTGAGAAATTTCTTTCCTTATTGCTCTTCTAGATGTCCTCTAAAAAATATTTGCTTTTAAAGTTATTATACTTTAAAAAGAATGGGAGGGGCTGAGGTTGTCACTCAGCAGTAGAACGCTGCTCACCTAGCGTGTGCGAGGTGCTGTGTTCAAACCTTAGCACCACATAAAAATAAATAAAAATAAAATAAAGTTATTGTGTCCAACTACAACTTAAAAAATAAAATAAAAAGAGTGGGAAAATAAAAGAATTTAACAAAACATGCTGGGAAAAATTTTATATAAAGTATAATGTGACTGTTGTAAGGAATGAGTAAATATATATATATATATATATATATATATATATATATATATATATATATACCCATATAAAAAATAGAGAAAAGATTATATAGATGTATATCAAAAATTTATAGTGTTTGTGTCTGAGATATTTTCTTCTTTATGTATTTGCAGTTATAAGATACCCTGAGTAGTATTCTACCTCTGTGACAAAAATGGCTAATTAAATAATATTAAATATTATTCAATCAAAATAATATTTCATATGCTATAACGCATCCGTTGTAGAGTGAATACATCAATAATTTAAAAATTATACTTCTAATTACCTTTAAGTGAGCCAAAATTAACTTTTTCCATTCAGAGTGTTTTAATGACTCCCTCATATTCTAACAAGTAAAACTTTATGTTTTTCATTTGTGAATTCTTCATCAGCTTTAACCTCTGTTGAACAGGAAACCGGTCAGTGATTCATATCTGACTATGAGTTCCATCCCAATATTTGTATTTCAGTTATAATAATTTTCCTTTCAGTTATAATATTCTCCCTTTATTATTTGTAATAAGTGAAAGAAAATTCGTAGTCTGAGGTGCTAAATCAGGGCTTTATCACTTATTGGCTATATTAACCTTGGTCCATTTACTTTCGTTTGCTGAGCCTTAGCTTTGTTCTAATTTAACTGGGCCTAGTAATTCTTCATACAGTTTGGGGAGTTCAACATTAAGTAATTAGAAAAAACAATCATTTTCATTATTCGTGGTTGTTTTTTAGTAGAAGGGAAAGGTCATATTATAGTGATAACCCTCATATTTCAGGATATTATATAACCCTTGTTAATACATATAACTGAACATGGAGAGGCTGGGAATTTGAAACACTTAGAAAGAAAACCTGAGACTTGGCAAGGGGTCAGGGAGGGACCTATAAAGGAATCCATATCCTGCTTTCTGCTTCAGGGCTTCTCTCCAAGCTGGGGGTGGGGGGGTGGATGTTCTAAGGTGGCACTTTTCTGGAGAGTGAGAGGCACCTGCTCAGAAGACAAGGACTGCCAGGAGCTTGGTCTGAACTGCGAGGTGGGTGGGTTCAAGTAATGCCCCCTCTCTGTTTCAGCGGTGAGCACCGATCCCTCATTGGTAACCTCTGGCCTTACACAACAAGGAAGACAGCAATAATTCTCTGAGCACCTTCTCTGCACCAGACACTTCTTTCCCACCAAGTTCAAATTTTTATTGAGGGTCATTTATGTGGTAGGCAAGTTCTGTGGGTACAAACTACTGTATTCTGAAATGCAACTACAACTTTAAACTAAGCAACATTTCTCACAGGATGGCACTGTTCCCAGGGGCAAAGGATTCCTCTGATGGCTGATTTTGTTCTCTTTGTTCCATCTATCCTTTATTGCTTCTTCCTCTTGTTCTGCTTTTGTTGTTGTTGTTGTTGTTGTATTTTGTGGTTTCATTTTATTTTCTGTTATTTAGTGTTTGGTCTTGGGACTGTAGCTCAGTGGTAGAGTGCTTGCCTAGCATGGGTAAGGCACTGGGTTTGGGTTCAATTTTTAGCACCACATAAAAATAACTAACTGGGGCTGGGATTGTGGCTCAGTAGTAGAGCACTTGCCTAGCAAGGGCAGGATCCAGGTTCGATCCTCAGCACCACATTAAAAAAAAAAAGGCATTTTGTTGTGTCCATCTACACCTAAAAAATAAATGTTAAAAAAAGTAACTTAAATTAACTAACTAAATAAAGGTCCATCGACAACTAAAAAAAATACTTTAAAAATATAATTTCAAGGGCTTGAGATATAGGTCAATTGGAAGAGTGCTTGCATCTCATGCACAAGGCCCTAAATTCAATCCCCAGTGTGCGCGCGTGTGTGCGCGCGCACACACACACACACACACACACACATATAATTTCAGTCTACTCCTTATACTTTTTTATTTGAGTACAAGGGATTTAACTCAGGGGCACTCTACCACTGAGTCACATCCCCAGTCCTATTTTGTATTTTATTTAGACACAGGGTCTCACTGAGTTGCTTAGTGCCTTTCTGTTGCTGAGGTTGGCTTTGAACTTGTCATCCTCCTGCCTCATCCTCCTAAGACACTGGGATTACAGGCATGTGCCATCACACTTGGTTATCCCATATACTTTTAAGTAGTGTTATATGACTTAATGTATACCATGAGATCATTATAGATGGAGATCTGCCTCTTCCCAATATTTGTATTATTTTTAGTTCATTCTACATTTACATATTGTAAAATCCTTATGCAACATTATTGTTATATGTTATTATCAACCAAAGAGTTTAAGTAGTAGGAAAGTAACCTTAAGCCTTTACCCATGCGCTTACTATTTCTGTTGCTCTTCATTCCATTGTATATTTCTGAATGGCATCATTTTCCTTCTACCTGACAGATTTCCAAAACCATTTCTTATAGTATGGTTCTGTTGGTAATGAATTCTCTCAATTTTATATGTCTGACAAAGATTTTAATGTCTAAGAGAAATTTGATTTTGTATTGTTTTTAAAAGATATTTTTTCACTGCATATAGAATTCTAGGGTTGTAGGCATTTTTTCCTTACATACTTTAAAGATGTCCCTATGTGTCTTCACTTCCATTGTTCAGGGAAGAAATTCTTTCCCTGTAATTAAAGAGTCTTGTTTGTCTCTGACAGTTTTTAGGATTTTTCTCTATTCACTGGTTTTGAGCTATTTGAATATCTTGGGCTTAGGATGGTAGTTTTCTTCATGTTACTCATGGTTAGGTTTTGTTAAGCTTCTTGAATCTGTGTTTATAGTTTTCAACCTGAAAAAATTGGGAGCCATTATTTCTTTGTATAATTTTTCTGTCTTCACATCCTGCTCTCAAGGAACAAAGAGGGACCAGAAGTGAATCCCTCAACAGGACTAGGGTAATTTGGTTAAAATAGATTCCTGGTACAGAGAAAATATGATTAATATTAGCTTAACCTATGATGACAAAATATCTT